CACATCTCACAGTGGAAAGGAAAAATACTGTCATCAAACATCGCACCTCAAGAACACAGTGTTACCAGAGGCCACATTGCTTGTACACCCTGTCACTCCTGCTTTGCAAAAGCCTGCCTTCCACCGAAGGAGAGAACAGAAGAAGTCTGTTCTCTGAAAAGCTAAGGGAGGAATGCTTCGGCTTATACAGGAAGTACAAGGCCAAGAAACAGTGCCTTTACAGGAGACTAGATCCCACAGGCACCGCCACTGTAGCCTGGGGACCAGTGATTTTGGCCTCTGGGTTTTTAGTTTTACTGGAAAAGGCTTGAGTTACAATTGGTGACAATATTCATTTGGGAAAAAGGGAGATAGAGTAATCATAGAGCATCAAATTAGGTAACTCATCAAAAAGGTGATGGGAAAGAAACCCTGGGTTTGTACACAGACACTTGGTTCACGGCCACCGGCTCCATGTGTACCCAAGGCCTCCATGATAACAGCAAAGCTGTATGATATATGGAGTATGAAAACCTAGTATGTATGCGTTAGAGGCAATAGGAAGGATACTCTTTCTTTCTAAACACCAAATCATCACGGAACAGCTTTGTATCATTACATTGAAATTATTGGGTTACAATGCAGTTTTATTGTTGAATACATATGAATTAATAATTTCCCTCACAAATATTGATCTGAAATATGACTCTGAGTCTTCATGCAAAATGTATCCATATAACTTTGCATTTATAGCTATGCGATACATTACCAAGTGAATTCAATGAATTGGTGTTCATTTGCAAATAAAATTTGGTTCATGAATTTAACTCAGAAGACAGGGAGATTATTCTGGAATTCTTTTTTAATACTAAGATTAACTTTTGAATTAGCATAGGAGTAGGAAGTAGATTTGGGAATTTCAGTTTGAATCAAAAGCCAAATCCAAGAAGAGAACTGAGCTGAGAAGGAAGAATGTTGGTGGGCTCACTTTTTAATTACCTTTCTGGTTGCTTTGTCTTGTTGAGAGGGCTTTTATTCAGGAGCCCAGGCCGACGAGAAACTCACACTCCTCCTGCTCAAGCTCTTTAGTGGTAGGGTTTCCGGTGTGAGCCCCTGCATGGTGGGTTCACTTAAGTCAGAGTGCCAGATCAGTTTCAGTTCAATGCTTTTTTTTCTCAGTTCCACAGTAATCTTTGCATCTTTATCTGCTTACCTGGCGTACACTTGTGAGATTATGAGAGTGACCAAAGCTATTAGATTTGATATCTTTAACTCTTCCTGTCCATATATTATATTTTCTTCTGAGTTCCATCAAGCAGCATGATTTTTTTTCTCAAGAAAGGAAAAGCACCCTAATTGATGTTTCATAAAACTATCAGGAGAATTTGTATCACTTAGAATGTTTCAAAATCAAATCTCCACATTTGTGAAACTTGGATAGTGTGTGCTAGAAGTACTTAATGTTTTGTTTTTTAAACCAACCTGTACCTATGCACAAGATGGCTTCACTTCTAGAGTCTGAAGTCCAGGGGACAAAGGACATCTGCCAGTGTGACTTCCAAGTGCAGAGCACTCTTGCGCACGGTCTCTTGCTTCTGAATCACTAACTCATAGTCCTATATGTTGTGCTCACATTCCAGATGTGAGTCTTCTCACATACTTCCAGAAACACTGTGCACTAAACTTGCCAGTGACTGAATTCTGTGGCCTCTGGGTTCCATTGAGAAATAGGAAGAGCAGGGCCACATGATAGATTTGAGTTCTGAATATTAGAATAATCACAAAAATAAGTTATAAAATGCTGTTTATTGACATTATTCCTACAAAAATGTACTTCTGCAAGGGCAGGGAAAACAGTCCAGGCAATTGGTCTGGTAGTTTCTTTGGTCCATCGTGTTTGGATTGCATTTTGCTACTTTTCAGCTCTGAGCTCTCAAACTTGGGTAAGGTCAAGTTCCCAGGATTGTTTGCTACCAACATAATTGGTGAGGGCACTGGGCCTTGGCATTGGGGACATTTAAGACCAAGTCAAAAAATTTCCCAGCGTGTTTCTTCTTATAATAGCAGAGTTCCAGTTCCTGGGAAAGATATGTGTTCGTGAGGGGTGTTTAGCATCTTGATGGTGCTTAGAACTTGATCTCAAGTAGATCAGCTGACGACAGGAAATTTCTATCAAAGAGAAGTGCATTTTGTTTGAGTCAGAAGATATATAAAACATCCAGTGAGATTTTGATGCATATTGTCGGAATTGGTTTTCATGTAAATCTTTCCTTCGTATTGGCCATGGCAAGATAGATATTTATATGGATCTAACAATCCTATTTTTCCCCCTGAGCAAAGCCAGTAAAAAATTCTTTTAATGTTTGACCCTTCGGCTTCTCTTCTGGTTCACAGCCCTTTTTGTTTGTCTAGATAATGGCTGTGTCCACCCACAAGGTCTTTAAACCTGACCACAATGGATTTAAAAAAAAGTATAAACAGTGCTCTTTTTGAGAACGATTTTCTCCATGCTCTATATACAACTTCAATGGGGAATTTAATTTACACAACTGTTCTCATGGGAAACACTTGAACTGTTAATATTGCTAATGATATTCTAATATTTCATAATGTCATTGTGATGCTGTTGCTGATCATTGGCATTTTTTATTGTTTGGGAATTCCGTATGTGTGTACGATGTATCTGATCCATCTCATCTCCTCCAATTCCCTCTCTATCTCTCTACCACTGCTCCCTCCCAGTTTTATACATTTCCTTTCTTTTTTCTTTAGGCCCCTGGGTTCGCTTAATGCTTTCAGTGTAGGGACATGGGACCATCTACTGGAACATGGACAGTCTTTTGGGGCTCACATCCCTAAAGAAAACAGGATCTCCCTCTCCCAATGATCATCAATTGCCAACACCCTCTCAGTTGGAGACAAGACTTTTGGAACACCTCCCCACTCCATGCTTGGATTTTTTGTCTGGCTTGACCTTGCGTAGGCACTGTCAATGCTGTCTCAGCTGTTGTGTGCTCATGAGTGCAGCTGACATATTGATTCTGGAGATTACTGTTCCACTGTAGCTGTCTACCACCTATTGCTCCTACAGCCTTCCTGCCCACTCTTCAGTTATGACCCCTGAGCCTTGGGAGGAAAGGGTATGGTATAGACATCTCATTTAGAGCCGAGTACACTGTAGTTTCTTCCCATCTTCACGCTGACCAGTTGTGGGTCTCTGTGTTCCTTAATGACAACATTTGTGACAATATCATCACACTGAAAGTCTAATATCCATAAAGATGAGCTTCATGTTAAGATACTGACTCTCCGCCTAGCACTAGATTATTAATTTGCGAATGGTGCTAATAAATAAATCTTAAGAAATATTTGCACCCACGTCCCAAAGTCAGCACCAATGTTCAGTAACAATCCTATTTGTCCATCACTGTGTAGGGTTTTTTTTTTTAAAAAAAAAAAAAGTCAGAGCAAAGAAATGGTATTAGAGTCACCAGCCTGAATCCTATAATCATGCTTAATTTTAGTCAAACATGTAAAGTCAGGATGAAAGTAATGTTTCCTTGATTTTTAGACTGTGGAGATCTTAGCATCATAATCCGAGCCTGCAGGAAGAGCTGAGAGCAGGAACTGGAAGCACACTACTGAGATATTCCTGGCAAACCCAAGCTTGAGCTCCAGTGGAGCGCTGGCATTTGGAAAATCAGATGCAGCGAACCCAATTATGCAAAACAGTTATTTCCAATCTATCATTCATCACAACTCTGTCTAAATCTGAGATTAGTTAATTATCGACAAAGAGAAAGACCTCACCTACCCTGATCCTTCTCTTCCTGCAAATACCTAGTGATTTTATTTTTATTTATTTAAAATAAAAATATAATGACATCATCTCCCCCGTTCCCTTCTTCCCTCCAATCCTTCCAACGCAGCTCCCTTGCCCGCTCTGAAAGAGCTCCAAACCCAGGCTATTGAAAGGTAATCTGCAATTAAATCCCACGATGGCTGGTGGGTGTCAGTTTGGGGGCTGAGGGTGAAGAGTCATTCCTGAAATAGGCTGAAGTCCTCTGTGTTTCTAGTGTGCATTCTGTGCTCAGCACAGATATGTAGAACTCCTGCTTGTCGCCCCAGGTCCGTGTCATGATGCCATGGCCCTGAACTTTCTCCTCCGGACATTAGCTCTAAACCAGTTTCTTATCTCCTGTCAGTCAGTGCGAGCAATGTCTTAAGTATTTCCTGGTGTGGCAGGCCTCGTTTTAGAAGCGTCTTTCTCTGCAGCACAGCTCCACGGAGACACCTTGCCCCAGCTACGCAGGGAGTGTTGTGAATGAGGAGTCGCAAACACTGGAGCGCCGAAACACTTATACTCATCAAGTGTGAATAAGCCAGTTAGTGGTGAGCTTTTGGACTTTGTCCAGAGGGAGACAGACTCAGTGCAAATGCTTCTGTTTGGTGAGGCAGGGGAAAAGGAAAAAGGATGCAGAGACCTTGTCCTTAAACACCTGCTTCTCAAAGGGATAGGGGCCGCTGTCTGTCCACTCTGGCTCATCCATTGTCCAGGACAAAGCCTGCTGATGCTAGCAATTTCTACTTCGGTTTTCAGGGGTGAGAATCCTGAGGTCTTCACTGCTTGAGCCTACTGATTTTCTCACCACTTCGAATGCTCCCTGTTGCACTAAATCAAAATTATGCGTGGACTTTTTAGATTGTCTGTCCATCTGGTTCCCTGGGTAAGGAGGCAGGCTTCACACATCAGGCCATGGGAAAAAAAAGTTTCAGAGGTCCTGTTGGGTGTGGAATTATTTGAGAAACCCCAACATCTGTCCAATGGCATCAGCTTTGGGAGCAGAACAAGGCAGCTGGATAGGGTGAGGAGCTGATTAGTCTGGCTCCTAGCGTTCATTGGTGTTAGTCATTGGTTCTTTGTAGATTTTAATCGTTACACTATTCCATTCAAATGTTCTTGGATAAAATACTGTCTGGATGTTGGCTGAGTCTTAATGTGCCATATTCATTTCTTTCAGCTGGGTCCCGAGCCTCATACAGCAGCCAGCATGGGCACCTGGGCCCCGAACTGCGGGCCCTGCAGTCCCCAGAGCACCACATAGACCCCATCTATGAAGACCGTGTCTATCAGAAGCCCCCTATGAGGAGTCTCAGCCAGAGCCAGGGGGACCCTCTGCCGCCTGCACACACTGGCACCTTCCGCACGAGCACAGGTGTGTACTGGGGATACATTCAGGCCTGCCCTCTGGGCATGGGGGATATGGACCTCCTTGGAAGCTAAATAATTGTTCCCAAATGAAAGCTCTGTGTGTGTGTGTGTGTGTGTGTGTGTGTGTGTGTGTGTGTGTGTGTGTAACCTGCTTCTGTCATCAGTACCTTTGATGATGACTGAAAGAGAGTGTAACTCCAGCTTAGCTACCTGGTGATTCTATGGATGGTAGAAGAACTAAGGGAATTGTCGTTACATCATGAAGTAGAGAAACTAAAAACAAAACTAAAAGAACAAACAAAACCCCATGATTGATGTTTTCTGGGCCCTAGGTAGGCGATTTAATGTAGTATAAGTTCTCCACAAAAGGAATCACAGCCATGTCATAAAATATAGATGCATTATTTTTGTAAGACAGTTTTAATGAGGCAGTCTACCTTTTAGCAAGCCTGGAGATCAAAATATTTGTTTAAAAAACGTGGCATATTTTGAAAGGTAGACTTAGGATATGTTTCATTCACACTAATAGTCCAAATCATTCAGAATTGTTATGTAAAGGTGGGAATTTGATAACTAATGATAACTCAATAAACAGTGTAGTCCCCACCATTAAATATGAATTTTTAGTTGTGCATAACTATAAGACACATGGGGAAGGACAGGTGTTTCCTATGACCTGTAGCCATTCATAAAGTAGTCCAAGGTTATGATTATGTTCCTAGTGACACCGACTTTAATGATAAATATGGAGAAATTAGACAACTGTTGAGGAGTGCACTTTTTGTAAAACCTAACCCTCCCAGGTAAACAGCAGAGATGCCTGCCTGTCAGCTGCTGGTGAAGCTTACCCCTTCCCCTTTCTTGCTACGCATGCTCAGAGCCACGGCTGAGGAGTGGAATGGAACTGTAGCTTGTAGTGACCACTGAGTACAGTGTGGTGACTTTGTTAAACTTCAGGTGATGCTGGATTACATGTTTTGAAGCCGAGGAAAGCTGCCCTTGCGGCTGATGATGGCTATTTACATTTCACAGCACTGGAAGAGGGAAGGCTCAATGTGCTCCCTGTGACATCGTCAATGCCATTCAATATTAATAATATATATTTAGACTTGGGGAAGAAAAAACACTGATTTATCCTTGTCAGAGCTTTTGCTCGCAGCCTGCTGTATCTGCTGCTGTCTGGAGTTGGGCCACTTGAAGTTTTTTTTTTTTGCAAATTATCAATTTAGATAATTTTATTTCCTAGTATACACTTTGTGAAAAAAGAGGTGACAATCTCAGTGACATTGAACACCTAATTTGAATAAAAAAGACAACAAAAGAAGTTTATTGAGCCCCTGTTCTGTATATGCCTTTAGGACTGTATTTTGTTAGTAAACTTCTGAAAGATTAGTCAAAAATTAGTTACAACAAAAAACTGCCATGCATATTTCAAGCCATAGAAAATGTTCATACTTAAATAAAAAGCAGCCATTTCTGTCAGCTATTCTTTTATTACTGTAACAAAATATCTAGGCAAAAAAAAGAAAAACCCACAACTTAGAAAAGGATTCATTTCAGCTTGTATTTGCAGGAGGGACAGGCAGGCTTGGTGACAGGAAGTTGACTGATACCATTTCCACACACAGGAAATAGAGACCCAAAACAGGAACAGGAAGTAAGGTGAGGCTATAAACTCTCAAAGCCCCACCCACAGTGGCACACTGACTCCAGCAAGGCTACACATCTTAAAAGTCCCACAACCTCACAAACACCAGCAACTGGGAACCAAGCGTTCAAACCCATGAACCTAATGACAGCATTTGTCCTTCAGATCTCACACTGGGAGTCTACGCCTGTGCCAGGATAAGAGATAAAAACGTGCCAGTGACATGAAATTTATATTTTAGTGTCCATGTGTCAATCTTTGGGTCACACCCTCACCCTTACCTGTAAATGTCCCCTAGAGCAGCTCTGGGACTGCAGAGGCAGCAGTATGAGGCCATGACAGAAATCATACAGTTTATAGGACTTGGCCTTTTGCAGAAAGTTTACAAACCTATTTCCCGGTGCCAATGGAGATACATCTTGAGCAAAGGCATGCTGTGCTTTTCTCCTTCTTTTGAGGGCAACCAGAAGTTTCCTCAAAATGCTTCAGAGAGTCTGTTGGAATAGGAACCATGACAGAGACCTGGCAAGATGTGGCAGTCAGAGGTTTGACACCTTATGCTAGCTGACACCGTGGAACCTGACATTGTTTGTGAGCAAACATGACGAGTCACACGATGCTGTGAGCATTACACAATGCTGTGAATGTCACACGGTGCTGTGAGCATCGCATGATGCTGCAAGCATCACGCAATGCTGTGAGCATGTCTAAAAGCACATAGAAGGAACAGGAAGTAAAGCCCAAGCCTCAAGACACAAGCTTCCAACCCGCCCCTATCCGGGAGACCTCTGGCCTGTGTTGTGCTCTCACACTTTTTTAACCCTAGGACCCATTGCTTTAGAGACTGAATGTCTAAGATGATTCCTTGTGTGTGTGTGTGTGTGTGTGTGTGTGTGTGTGTGTGTTTAAGTATGTATCCATAATCATTTTATTCACAACCCCCTCTGTTTTACTCATCCTTGTGTCTTGAGATCACTAAAACTGAGCTAAGAGACTTCCAGAGCAAAAATAAATACCCTTACTTCTAGGAGAAAGGGTCACATTCTAGTGAGACCCTTAGTTTGAGGTACTTGGTTCTCCATGCTTAGCTTGAATTGATGGCTGATGTGACATGACCAAGCAGCCTTATCTTCCTGCCTTTCAGTGACAGGCAACCAGTTGTAGGTCATTCGTTTCTGTGTCCCCAAACAATCCAGACAATCCTGTAGCAAAACAGAAAGTGGGTCACTCTCTTTCACTGCACCCGCTCCTGGAAGTAAAGACGAGGGAAAGGCACATCAGTGATTAGGGAATGAGGAGTGGGTGCTGAGAACCGAGGGTGAGGTCCTAAGAACAAAAGCAGGTGGCACATAAATATTTTGGGGACAGCCACTAGTGCATTTAATATAGTTACGAATCCTGCAGCTGACGTATATTTTGATGCTTTTTCTATATATCATAAAGCAGACATGGGGATGTTGCTTCTACAGTCACATAGGTTGTTTAGAGCCAGTCTTTGAAGTGTCATGTCTAAGCTATCTTGTCCTAGGTCCTGCTTTTGTTTGACGCCACATTTGTAAAAACCATTTGAAAGTCAAACAGATTCATTTGTTAGCCGTGGAGCTTCATGGCTTTGGATGTTCTGTTATTAAAGAGCTATCTGCTAGGATCTACTGTTGACTGGGTAGACTGACTCATCAGAGTGGCTTGCAGGCTACTGCTTGACTTTGAGCCCATTTCATCTCATATAGTCTCCTAAACATAGAAGAAATTGACAAACAAAGGATGGGAATGCCTGTAAGATCAGTGTCATGGACCTGTTTTCAACTGCCTTGGTCTCCTAAGCATCGTACTAACTCCATGGCAACTGTCTCCCTGTCCTTTCCTCTTACACGCTGACCTCATCTCTGGGCCGCCTTGGTACCTGATTACAGCTATCCAGAATAATAAGTCACTCTTGAGCAGAGAGATTTTTAGGGAGATAACTGGACAAAATAAAGAACAAAAACAAAACCAGAACTCATGCCTGCAGATGCAGAAGGGAAGGCGTGTTGAGACTACAAACTTCTCCATCACAAGGAATGTAAGGAATGTCCCAGGAGTTTCTTCTTGTGCTCATTCATCACTCATCTTTTTCCTGTTTCTTTCCATCCTTCTTTCTCTCTTCCCTTGCTCCTCAGCTTCCAGATGTACACCGCCCATGTCTGTTGCTTTGATATGGGGCCTAAGTCTCAGATACCAGCTTAGACAGTGCCATCTTTCTTTTTATGTGTAGTCAAAAGTCCCATGAACTCCTGAACCATGCATGGGCTACCTAACCCTCATGTGATTGACCTCATGAACATGTGTTTAGAAACATTCAGGGTCATGCTGGAGCATCAAGAAGCATCAAGAGCCCCTCTTCATCTCTCCTCCACTATGGTCTTATGGATGGTGAAACACACGTAGGAATTATCTGGATTCAATAAAGCAGATGCACAATCCACTGAAGCCATACCAGAGGCCTTGGTCTCCACTACCCCTTCTTGAAGACTCAGCTCCAGACACTGTCTTGCTCAGGCACACCAGACCACTGCAGGGCAGAGCCTGCTCTCTCTTCCACCCAACCTAGCAGAAGGATGCAGGCGCTAAGGATGACCTGGCAAGTCTCACTACTCCCAGATGTGTTATAAGTAGAGATGTTTGAAGAAAGTATATCTCTTCCCTTGCCCAAAGACAGCAGTGACAGGCAGAAGTCAGCATGGCACTCCAGAAATGCAGCGACCTCAGAGAGGCCAGGACCACTTTTTGAATCAGCAGTAGCTCCTAGCCAGCTAGGCTGCCAGAGAGGGTCCCATCACCACCCATGAGAACTCATCCTTTTCCTTGATTTGAGAAACTATAAATGTGGATGGTGGGATGAAAGGGAAAGAGAGTTACCTACTGGCAAGTAACAAAGTTAGCCCTGTCCTGAAAGGTCCACAATAATTCCACAAGCATAGCTCTCTCATGCTTCCATCACGTCAGTAGACAGAGGAGTGCTGGAAAGAATGGAAGCCCAGGATGGTGTGTCCACTGAGCAGTGAATATGACATCATTTATAATCTTCACCTAAGGGCTCAACAGCACCAGAGGTTGCAACTTAAGAATAATGAAGATGTGGACCCTTAATTACAAGTTGGCAGGTTGTACCCTCCATTCTAGACACTGTCTATCAATTCACATGGTTAGAATTTATGTGTATGACCACTACAGTTCTTGGCTGTCTTTCAGATTTGCAGGCAAGTGAGTAGATCAAGATTAGAGCACAGCCTACACCTGAAGTAGAAGTGTTTATTTTTGTACAATAAAAATACTCACATCACCTCTAGTCCCAAGTCTGCCAGATTCTAGGCTGT